CTTCCCCTACCGCACTCCATCCCTCCCCCCCCCGCCCTTCTTCTTTGTGCCAGATCCCCCCCCAGTAGACCCCCTCCCCCCTCAGGGTCCTGCCCCTTCAGGTGTGTCCCAGGTAGACGCAGTCGAGCCTGTCGAGGTAGCTGTTGACTCTCGTACTGCTAGGGGTGCTGAGCCTAGGGGTGCTGAGTCTGGGGGTGCTGGGCGTGGGGGTGCAGAGCCTGGGGGTGCTGAGCCTGGGGGTGCGGAGCCTGGGGGTACGGAGCCTGGGGGTGCTCGGCCTGGAGGTGCGGAGCCTGGGGGTGCAGGGTCTGCTCGTGTGGCCTCTGGCGGTGCTGAGCCTGCGGGTGCTGGGTCTGGGGGTGCTAAGTCTAGGGGTGCTAAGCTTGGGGGTGCTGAGTCTGGGGGTGCTGAGCCTGGGAATGCGGAGCCTAGGGGTGCTGAGCGTGGGGGTACGGAGCCTGGGGATGCGAAGCCTGGGGGTGCTGAGCCTGGGGGTACGGAGCCTGGGGGTGCGGAGCCTGGGGGTGCTGGGTCTACTCGTGTGGCCTCTGGCGGTGCTTCGTCGAGGCAAGAGCTACTCTCTACGCCGGAGCTGCGTGAGTGGTTTGCCTGGCGCTGGAGCCGTGCTGCTGGAGCTGGATGTGCTGCTGTTGCTACTCGTCCTGGAGGTGCTCCTACTGGCGGTACTGGAGCTGCTGGGACTGGGTGTGCTGCTGGGGCTGCTGGAGTTCGTCCTGCTGGAGGTACTACTAGAGCTCATGGCGGTACTACAGTTGACGGTCCTGCTAGAGCTGGAGCTGCTGGGGGTGTTGGCGCTGGAGGTGCTGCTAGCGCTGGTGCTTTTGAGGGTGCTCGAGTTGGCGCTGTTGGAGCTGGAGGTGCTGCTGGCGCTGGTGCTGCCGCTGGGGGTACTGGTGCTTTCCCTGCTGGTTCTAGAGGCGCTGCGCGGCCGCGACCGTACTTCGTTCCGCTCCTTGAGCAGGTTCTTGGTCTCCTGCCCTCTACTGGTCTTGCTCCTCCCTTAGAGTGTCCACAACCTGTCCAGTCGCTGTCATAGTTACAGCCCGCCTCCCCCCTTCCTGCTCCTTCTCCCTACACTGGTCTTACTGGAGGTCTTGCTGAGCATCATGAGCCTGCGTCTCGTCCTACGTCGCTTGTTTATGCTGCTCTCATTATTAGTCGTGCTCCACGTCCGCGTCCTTCTGCGGTCCCAGGCACACACCAGATGGAACTACGTCCTTTCACTGCTCCTCTTTGTGTCCCGTTGCCGTCTCCTCCAGAGTCCTCTCTTCATGTTCTTGCTGACCCAGAGTCTGACTCTCTTCGGGCTGCCAGTCCTACAGTTACGCATCTCCTGGCTACTGTTGTCACTGACCCTTCCTTTGAGTCCACTACTACGTCTGCCTTGGTTGCTGAGCTTGTCGACTTTGCTGCTCGCTATCGACTAGACTACGCCGCTAGTCTTGTTGCTGAGTCTGAGTCTGTCTGTCCTCCGTCCGTCGGGGGTGAGTGTGCTCTTAGCTCGGACGTCCTTGAGGACAGGCAAGAGGAGTTCCAGTGTTTTGCTGCTGCTTTGCCTCATCTTGTGTCCACGCTAATTGCCCCTGAGGGAGACCCGGATGCACCAGACATCTCGACTCCTCGATCGTACGCTGAGGCGATCGAGGGTCCCTACTCCTCTCAGTGGCAGTCAGCCATGGACGCAGAGATGGCTTCCTGGAAGTCCACGGGCACCTACGTCGAGGAGGTTCCCCCACCTGGGGCGAACATCGTCAGTGGCATGTGGATTTTCAGGGTGAAGCGGCCGCCGGGTTCTCCGCCTGTCTTCAAGGCGCGTTACGTGGCTCGAGGCTTCAATCAGCGGCAGGGAGTTGACTACTTTGAGACCTTCTCTCCCACCCCGAAAATGACCACTCTTCGGGTGCTGCTGCACATAGCTGCTCAGCGCGACTACGAGCTTCACTCTCTTGACTTCAGCACAACTTTTCTACAGGGCAGCCCACTCCGCCAGGCGCCACGTAAGTGGCACGACACACCGAGGACTACACTTGCAGCTCTTGGGTTTGCTCCTTCTACTGCCGACCCGTCGCAGTTTCTGCGCACCGACACCTCTTTGCCATCGTTCTACATCCTTGTGTACGTCGACGACTTGGTCTTTGCCACTGCTGACCACTGCTGGACTCGCCCACGTGAAGTCCGAGCTGTAGAAGAGACACACGTGCACAGACCTGGGTGAACTGCGCAACTACCTTGGCTTGCAGATCACCCGGGACAAAGCACAGCGCACCATTACCCTGACTCTGTCACACATGGTGCAGCAGGCTCTTCAGCGCTTCGACTTCATGTACTCCTCGCCTCAGGCCACTCCTCTGCCTACTCGCCACTCGCTCTTAGCTCTGCCTTCGGATGAGTCGGTAGAGCCGAGTGGCCTGTACCCAGAGCTTGTTGGCTGCCTCATGTACCTGATGACCTGCACACGACCTGACCTAGCATACCCTCTTAGCATCTTGGCACGCTATGTTGCTTCTGGGAGACACCGATCAGAGCACATGGCTACAGCGAAGAGGGTGTTGCGCTACTTGTGCAGTACGTTGGGCATGGGGCTAGTGCTTGGAGGGCGACGTCGAGTGGTCCTCACAGGTCACGCTGACGCTTCTTGGGCTGACGATTAGGCTACGCAGCGGTCGTCAAAGGGTTACACCTTCAGCCTTGGCTCCGGTTATGTTTCGTGGCGGTCTACCCGCTCGTCTTCTGTTCTCGACTCCAGCTGTGAGGCTGGGATCTACGCGGGGGCCATGTCTGCACAGGAGCTACGCTGGCTCACCTATCTGCTGACTGACCTAGGGGAGCAGCCTCGTTCTCCTCGAGTTCTGTACGTAGAGAACAAGGCCATGCTAGCCTTGTGTTGGGAGCAGAGACTGGAGCACAGAACGAAGCGCATTGCTCTCCGCTAGTTTCTTGCTCGTGAGCTGCAGCAGCGTGGTCAGCTCCGACTTGCTTACGTAGCCTCTGAGGCCAACACAACTGATATCCTTACCAAGGCACTTCCGCTTAGTGATCATCAGCGCTTCTGTACGATGCTAGGTCTTGTGCCTACTTGGCCTCACTTGCTCACTTCTTGACCTTGCTTGTACTGTGATCTATCTATACCTGCACTTGCCTGTTTCCCTTAATATATGAGCTTGCATGTGAACTGGCCTTTTGGCCTTGCTCTTGTGCTTGGATTGTGTGGTGACGTTGTGATCCACCCTGAGCTTGATTTGCTTTGCTTGAGTGGTCTTGTGACCGCTTGTTCTCCCCCACTTTGCCTATGGGGGTGTGTGAAACTTATATGCTATAGTCTGTGTAGGCTGTAGTGGGGTAGACTATATGGGGTACACCATTTCTAGGTTTTCCTACTTGTACCCACCTCTTTCCTAGTTCATTCATTCCTTATTCTTTGCAGTCTCTATTTCCCTCTTGTGACTGTAACGGAGTGGCTGAATGTTGTTTGTTGCTGTGCTTCTCTCTTTGGCAGGCTACATTGCCACTGCCGTCACCATGGCTGCTGGCTTTGCTTGGCTGCTTGCATGATAGGCGGCACATGTCCGTTTTCTGGAAGGACTACGTTGCACTGAAAAGTTACATCGCGCATTTTAATGTAACACGATTCGTGGGGAGGGGACAGACAAGTATACATGTGGGTGGGAAGGAGACATGTGGGTGCTAAGTAGACATGTGGGTGCTAAGTAGACATGTGGGTGCTAAGTAGACATGTGGGTGCTAAGTAGACATGTGGGTGCTAAGTAGACATGTGGGTGCTAAGTAGTGTTGTGGGTGCTAAGTAGACATGTGGGTGCTAAGTAGTGTTGTGGGTGCTAAGTAGACATGTGGGTGCTAAGTAGACATGTGGGTGCAAGTAGACATGTGGATGCTAAGTAGACATGTGGATGCTAAGTAAGTAGACATGTGGATGCTAAGTAGACATGTGGATGCTAAGTAGACATGTGGATGCTAAGTAGACATGTGGATGCTAAGTAGACATGTGGATGCTAGTAGAATGTGGATGCTAAGTAGACATGTGGATGCTAAATAGACATGTGGATGCTAAGTAGACATGTGGATGCTAAGTAGACATGTGGATGCTAAGTAGACATGTGGGTGCTAAGTAGCCATGTGGGTGCTAAGTAGACATGTGGGTGCTAAGTTGACATGCGGGTGCTAAGTAGACATGTGGGTGCAAGTAGACATGTGGATGCTAAGTAGACATGTGGATGCTAAGTAAGTAGACATGTGGATGCTAAGTAGACATGTGGATGCTAAGTAGACATGTGGATGCTAAGTAGACATGTGGATGTTAAGTAGACATGTGGATGTTAAGTAGACATGTGGATGCTAAGTAGACATGTGGATGTTAAGTAGACATGTGGATTCTAAGTAGACATGTGGATGCTAAGTAGACACGTGGATGCTAAGTAGGCATGTGGATGCTAAGTAGACATGTGGATGTTAAGTAGACATGTGGATTCTAAGTAGTCATGTGGATGCTAAGTAGACATGTGGATTCTAAGTAGACATGTGGGTGCTATTTACTGTGGTTCTATAAAGTTTTATCATGTCCAGTGACCAAGAACAAGAAAAACAGTAACAAAGGTAGCTGCCTTTCTTTGTGTGTGAGTGTAATTGACGTTTATAGCAAACTATATGGGGTACCGTATAAGGAGCACATATCCACCTACAGAAAGCAACCGAGTACCCTGGTTACAATGAGCCTTAGCCATTGCTGTCTGTCAGGCTCTCTTTCTAGTTCTCCCATTCACTCTCATTTTATCTACCCCATTCACTCATTGCTTGCAATAGCACACCATACCAGTTACTGAGAAATCATACTGAGTCAGGAAAACCACACCACTATAACGACAGGTCAAATTTACCATCAAGAGAGCAGGTATTGGTACAGCAAAACTGTGCAAAATCCATAATATTTGCACGTGTCGCCGTAACAGGCTGCACCTGGTCAATCATTCATTCTCGAAACAGAGAGCCTTATTCAGCGCCTCTCTTGCAGCCTGCAGCAGCTGTGCTTCCGGTGAATCTGCCAGCGCTGCTGCAGCTGAAACAGCAGTGGCAATAGAGGCAATGGGCAGCACCGCAGTCGAAACTGCCACATTCATTCCTTCGATAGAGTCACACGGAATAGGCACACCAGCGCTGCTGCTGCGGCTCTGGCCTTCCACAAAACCTGCTGCTTCTGGCGCTGGTGGTGCCTCTGCTGCTGCTGCTGCCGATCCTCCTCCTGAACTGCTATCAATCCCATCGTTGCACAGCAAATCAGACATGACATCATCACTGCTGCTTTTGGGTAACGCTGACTGCGGCGCAGAGGGGTGCAGAGCGGTGCAGTGCAGTATGCGGGAGGCAAGCTCGATTGTTGCATGGCGCCACCACAGGGCTCTCTCCTCTGCCTGCTGCACCTGGTGGGGGCAGGCGGGGGGAAACGAGACGGGGAGGAAGAGGGGCAGGGGAGCACAGGTGGGGGACAGGCAGGGGGGAGCAGTCAGCTTTATAGTTGCATGGCACCACCACAGGGCTCTCTCCTCCGCCTGCTGCACCTGATGGGGGGGCAGGTGGGGGGGAGGTAGGGGCATGCGGGGGACAGGCGGGGGGAAGGTAGGGGTGTGAGTTCAGTTCTATGGTGCATGGCGCCACCACAGGGCTCTCTCCTCCGCCTGCTGCACCTGAGGGGGGCAGGTAGGTGGGGGGTAGGGGGCAGGCGGGGGGCAGGCGGGGGGAAGGTTAGGGGGTGAGGTCAGGTCTATGGTTGCATGGCGCCACCACAGGGCTCTTTCTTCCGCCTGCTGCACCTGATGGGGGGGCAGGTGGGGGGGAGGGTGGGGGGCAGGTGGGGGAGGTAAGGGGGAGGTAGGGGGGCAGAAAGGAGGAGGGAGAAAGGGCGATGGAGAAAACAGGTGTTGATGGGTAACAGAAGGGGAAGGGGAAGAAGAAAGCACATACGTGCTTCCCATTTATGATGATTGCACAGACTCATTACTTGCAATTTCCTGTCGATTGCATGTAACTGCTGCTGTTGAAAGTCATTCTCCATCATACACACACACACACCGCACGCACACACCGCACGCACACACCGCACACATGCACGCGCGCCGCGCACGCAACGCACGCACTCACGCACGCACGCACGCACGCACGCACACACACACACACACACACATACCGCAAACACGTACCGCACACACATACTACACACACACACACCACACACACGTACCGCGCACATACCGCACACACAGGCTGCACACACACACCACTATACTGCACACACATACCGCACACACACGCCGCGCAAACGTACCGCACACATACTGCACACATACCGCACACATACCGCACATACACCACACACACAGGACACATACTGCAACATGCAAAAAAAAAAAAAACGCCTTACCTGCTGCTCATAGTCATTCTCCATCATCCTCAGCTCCTCCTCCTCATCTCCTTCCTCATCCTCTCCCCCTGCCCCCTCTTCTCCCCCTTCTCCTCTGCCATCTCCCTCTAATCCTTCCTCGGACCCTTCACCTGTCTCCTCATCCTCTGCCCCAGCTGCAGCTGCTTCTGCTGCAGCTGTTTCATCTCCCATTCTCCCACTCCTGCCCTCCCTTGACGAATTCCCAAAATCAGCGGTCACAGAAACGTTTGCTGCAAGTGCAGGGGCAACTGCAGCAGCAGCATCAGAGCTACCTGAGGTTGCAGGGACAGCAGCAGAGGGAATACTGCGAGCAGAAACAGCAGCGCCACGCATGTCAGAAACGGAATTACCAGGAGAACCGTGAATCACAGAAACGTTCCCTGCAATTGCCGGGGCAATTACAGCAGCAGCAGAGCGACCTGCGGTTGCAGGGAAAGAAGAAGCCGCGGCAGAAGCAGCAGCAGCATGCATGTCGGAAAGAGAATTATTAGCAGAGCCGTGAATCCACGTGCTAAGGGAGGTGGCAGCAGGGAAGTCAGAGGGGGAGGAGCTGAGTGGGAGCTGGTAGTGCTGGTGCCGTTTCTGCTGTGCGTGCTGCTGTGGCTGCTGGTGCGGCTGCTGCTGTGGCTGATGGTATGGCTGCTGCTGTGGTATCTGCTGTGGTTGCTGCTGTTGGAGCTGCACCTTTGGCCGAGGGTGCGTGCTTATTGCCTGTGAGTGTCTGCTTTGTGCGTTTGCACTATCACTCGCCAGGGGTGTGGATGGTATGGTGGGTGGGACACGGTGAATAGGCGTGGAGAGGAGTGGGGAGGGGAGTGGGGGGGTGAGAGGTAGCGGGGTAATGGATGGGGAGGAATCGGGCAGCTGGGGTTGAGAGATGGGGAGGAAGATTGAAGGGGCTGGGGGGTAGGCACTGGCAGGTTGGCTTGGGGGAACGATGTGGGGAGCACCAATAGAAGGAGGAGCAACGGGCGGAGGAGCAACGGGCGGAGGAGCAACGGGCGGAGGAGCAATGGGGGGAGGAGCAACGGGCGGAGGAGCAATGGGCGGAACAGTGGGGGTGGCAGCAGTGCTGCTTGCAGCAACTGTTGCTGGAGACGCAGGAAGTATGGGAGCAAGAGTGGGGGTAAGGGCAGGAACCGGGGTGAGAGCTTGCGCAGGAGTAGGAGAAGGAGCAGTGGCAGGGGAGGAGGAGGAGGGCGGAGCAGCAGCAGAGGAGGAGGGAGCAGCGGCAAGGTTGAGGAGGGAGAGGAAGGAGGAGGGGCGGGTGAGTGATGGGGGACGGAGGGGCTGGGCTGAGGGGTCTGAAGCTGACACGATTGCATCGAACAGAGAGAAATCCTGCACGCATGTTGTGTGAAGGGAGAGAAAGGAGGGGTACGGTAAGGGAGGGGGGACGGAGGGGTTGAGCTGAGAGGTGTGAAGCTGACACGATGGCATCAAAGAGAGACAAGTCCTGCAGGGATGTTATGTGAAGGGAGAGAAAGGAGCGGGGCGGGTAAGGGAGAAAAAGGACGAACAGGTGAGGGAGGAGTGTGGACGGAAGGGTCGAGCGGAGGGGTCTGAGGCAGACACGATGGCATCAAAGAGAGAGAAGTCCTGCAAGGATGTTACGTGAAGGGAGTGGAAGGAGGGGCGGGTGAGCGAGGGTGGGCGGAGGGGTTGAAACGAGGGGTCTAAGGCAGACACGATGGCGTCAAAGAGAGAAAAGTCCTGCAAGGATGGTATGTGAAGGGAGAGAAAGGAGGGGGGGCGGGTAAGGGCAGGGAGGGCGGACGGAGGGGAGGCGTTTAGGTGAAGGGTGTGAGGCTGACACGATTGCATCGAAGAGAGAGAAGTCCTGCAGACATGTTATGTGAAGGGAGAGAAAGGAGAAAGGGAAGTAAAGGAAGGGGGGACGGAGGGGAGGCGTTGAGGTGAGGAGTCTGAGGCATGTTATGCTGGCATGCTCAGTGACACGATTGCATCCAAGAGAGAGAAATCCTGCAGACATGTTATGTGAAGGGAGAGAAAGGAGAAGGGGAGGGTGAGAGAGGAGGGCGGATGGAGGGGTTGAGGTGAGGGGTCTGAGGCTGAGACAATATGGCATTTAAGAGACAATTGCATCAAAAAGAAAAACGTCCTGCATGCATGTTATGTGCAAGGAGAGGAGGGGGGCGAGGCGAGTAAGGGAAGGGGGGACGGAGGGGCTGGGCTGAGGGGCCTGAGGCAGACAATAGGCATCTAAGAGAGACAAGTCCTGCAGAGATGTCATTTGGCATGCCATGCCAAATAATGCCATGTGCCATGTGCCATGCCACCCCATGCCATCCAGTGCCATCCAACGCCAAACAAAGCCATGCAATGAGTTTCAAATCCACACCATGCATGCCATGGCAGACACGGCCATGCCAAACCATGCCATGCCATGCCATGCCAAACCATGCCATGACATGCCATGCCATGCCAAACCATGCCATGACATGCCATGCCAAACCATGCCATGCCATGCCATGCCAAACCATGCCATGCCAAACCATGCCATGCCAAACCATGCCATGCCATGCCATGCCATGCCGCAAAAGCAGAGCGAGTGACCCTTTAGAGGGTCCTTAAACGAGGGATGGCGGAGAGAGAAGGGATGGAGGAGAGAAAAGCGATGGTGGAGAGAGGAGGAGGGGGGGATGGCGCAGAGAGAAAAGGGAGATGGCGCAGAGAGGCGGGAAGAGGCGGGGAGAGGCGGGGAGAGGCGGGGAGAGGCGGGGAGAGGCGGGGAGAGGCTGGGGAGAGGCTGGGGAGAGGCTGGGGAGAGGCTGGGGAGAGGCTGGGGAGAGGCTGGGGAGAGGCTGGGGAGAGGCTGGGGAGAGGCTGGGGAGAGGCTGGGGAGAGGCTGGGGAGAGGCTGGGGAGGGACATACCACACAGCGCCGGCCGTTTGCAGCTCGATAGACCATCTTCCTGAATGCGGGGCAGGTGGTGAGAGGATGAGAAAATGGAGAGAAAGCAAGGAGAATACTCAGGTGGTGAAAATTTAGAGGCGCCTGCAAACCATTTTCCTGAATAAGCGTCAGGTAATGGCAGGTGGAGTGGAGAACGAGTGGAAAATTCATAGATGGTGGATATTCAGATGGCTGGAATTTAAGTGATTGTGAGAAGGAAGAGGTCCGGGGGGGGAGGGGGAGGGGGGGGGGGCGTCGGGGGGTTTGGGGCTGAGGGGTTTGAGAGAAAGAAAGGATAGGTGGGCACTCACACGAAGCGGTAATTGTGTTTGATGTCACATGGGCGGTAGGAGTGGCGCACTGGCAGGCGGACAAGTCAACGGGGAATGGGGTGAGAAAGAGGAAGCAGGAAAGGAAGTTGGGCTTGCAGTCACCTCGCTACAGTCACCTCGCTACAGTCACCACCTCGCTACAGTCACCTCGCTACAGTCACCTCGCTAGAGTCACCTTAGAGCATTCCTAAGTGTCACCTTGTAACCCCGCTACAGTCAGCTTGCTACAGTCACGTTAGAGCATTCCTAAGTGTCACCTTGTAGACCTCGCTACAGTCACCTCGCTATCGCAATTGTCCACTGCCTCCAGATGATGTTACACAGGCAATACGATGCAATGTGATGTCACTCCTTGCAGCCCTCGCTACAGTCACCTCATTACACAATCACCTTGCAAGGTGGCAGAGGTGGAACAGTCGACCGCCACCAGCAGCACCAGGATCTCGAGGTCACCGCGCACAATCACCTTACTACAGTCACGTTAGAGCAGCCCTAAGGGCACCTTTTAGCCCTCGCTACAGTCACCTCGCTCTACGATCACCTCGCTCTACAGTCACCTTGCAGGGTGGCAGAGGTGGAGCAGTCGACCGCCTCCAGCAGCACCAGGATCTCAAGATCAGATCGTTCCATCATCTGGGTAGAGCGGGGGACGAGGAAGAACAGGGAAGTGAGCAGAGGATGTGAATACAAGGAGATGAGACTACTGGCAGACGTGGAGCAGTCGACCGCCTCCAGCAACACCAGGATCTCAAGGTCTGACCGCTCCATCATCTGGAAAGGAGGCGGGAAAGAGAGGTGGGGTGGGAGGGAGAGACGTGGGAGACTCACAGATGAGAATATGGACTCAAGTCACGACAGCAGCATCAGGATCTCGGGGTCTGACCGCTCCATCATCTGAGAGGAGGGAGGGGAGGTGAGAGGAGGGAGGGGAGGTGAGAGCAGAGCATGGGGGGGAATGAGAAGTCACACACACACCCACACACCACTGCCTCCAGCAGCACCAGAATCTCGAAGTCCGATCGCTCCATCATCTGAGCAGAGGAAGGAGGCGGAAAACGAGCAGCGCACGTGACTTTCTTTTGAGAATTCTCAAAAAGGGAAGCACGAAAGGACTGGGAGCATACGTCCCCCACGACAACGTCCTGCAGCACCAGGATCTCGAGGGCTGACCGCTCCATCATCTTAAGAGGAAGGGGGGGTGTGTGTGTTCGACTGCACTTGCCACTCCTTGTCACCTGGCCTGCTTGCTTACTCGGTCAGCTGTGTGATGTTACAGAGTGTGCTGTTAACAAGTATGCTTCTTACCGAGTGCGAGAGCCCATACAAGGGGCTCTCATTGTGTGACTGCGTGGGTGACGGTGCAGGGCAGGACCAGGTACATCTGACTGCCGCCAGCCACAGGCAGCTGGGAGAACTGCACATCACTCCCACTTCACAAGTGTAATGAGCTCCATGAGGGGTCTTACCGAGTGCGAGAGGCAATATAAAGGGCTTCCATGAGTCACAGCGTGCGTGACAGTGCAGGGAAGGCCCAGGTAGATCTGACTGCCGCCCGCCACAGGCAGCTGGGAGAACTTGAAGACCGCTTCGTCCTCGTGAGCCAGGATGTTGTTGTTGAGCGCCGCTAGCATGCGCACGTGCGCCTGGTGGGGGAGGGCACATGAGCAGGCAAGTGATAGGCAGCTGAGAGGCAGGTGGGAGAACTTGAACACTGCCTCGTCTTCATGTGCTAGAATGTTGCTGTTGAGCGCTGCTAGCATGCGCACGTGGGCCTGGTGGGAGGGGATCATATTGTACAAGAAAGAGGACGTGCAAGTGGGTGGGAGAAGTTGAACACTGCCTCGTCATCGTGAGCTAGGATGTTGTTTTCAGCGCTGCTAGCATGCGCACGTGCGCCTGGTGGAATAGGGACCATATAAGGAGGGCGAAAGAAGGGGGAATGGGTGGCAGGCAGCTTAGCGGAATTGACGACTGCCTCGTCCTCGTGGGCACGGATGTTGCTGTTGAGTGCCGCTAGCATGCGCACATGCGCCTGCTAGGCGGTGTATTTTGAGGCGTCTCAAAATACACCTCATGTTGCTGTTGCGTGGCACTAGCATGCACATGCGCACATGCACCTGCTAGGCGGTTTGTGCAGGGAATAGGGAGGGAAATATGCAACAGGCAGCTGGGAGGACTTGACAACCGCCTCTGTTAGTGTTAGCCTTCACTCTCACACTTTGTACTTTGTATTTTCTATATCCTAGAGTAGTGTAGTTTGCACATTGTGTTTGGTTGGGTGTACACCTACATCCCAACCAAACCCAAATGTAATCTCCAAGCAATCTCCAACCCACCAATTGGAGATTACCTTGGGATTACCCCCAATCCCTAGGGATTGCCCCCGATTCCCTTCCCCATCCATTCCCTCCCCTTCTTGGATGTACTAAAAGAGCTTCAAGCTCATTACTAATGCATCACTTCTAAGCTTAAGTTCCTTCATGGTATTAGAGCTCTACATCCGCACATGCGGATCGTGATCCTCCTATCTATGCGGATGTTCTTCCCGCAAACCTCGGCGTAGCCTCCGTCAATCTCGTCGCCGTCGATTCGCGACATTCATGGGCGGAAATTCCCCCGCACCACTTTCCCGTCAACTTCGACGACGTCCTCAATTTCTATGGTACGCTCATCGACGTCGCTCTAACGTATCGTTCATCTTCACTCCATCCCTCAACTTCGTCGTCGCGTCACCTCTTCTCGTCGGGTCGCCGCCCGTCGCCCCGCAGCTTCTCGTCGGGCCGCCGCCCGTCGCCCCGCAACTTCTTGTCGGGCCGCCGCCCGTCGCCCTGCAACTTCACCTTCGGGCTGCCGCCCGTGGCTCCGCATCTGCACTGCTACCCCCATCCCCCCCCCCCCCACCTTTCCCGCAGCTGAACAGGTGCAGCAGCGCAGCCGAGCAGCAGCGTAGCCGCGAAGCCGAGCAGCCGTGTAGCCGCGAAGCCGAGCAGCAGCGTAGCCGCGAAGCTGAGGGTGGTGTGTGGGGGGGTGTGTGGGAATATGATTAGTAGGTAGTTGACACTAAATTGGCGTCTCAGTCCAATTCTCCTTCAGAAACCCTAAACCTCAAAATTCTCTTTCGTAAACCCTAAACCTCCGGTTCATCAAAATCTCCTTCGGAAACCCCAAACCTCAAGTTCATATCGGTGACTTAAGAGCAGCGCTTCGCGCGAGACGCCAAGGGATCTTCAGCATGGCCTTCACCGCGTCCACCATGGCCAACCCCATCACCCCACTCCGTCTTGAAGCCGATGGCTCCAGCTCCAACTTCAAGGCATGGAGCTATGGGGTTGACAAGCACCTGCTGAGCCGTGACGTGCAGGGATTGGACCTCAAGGATGTCCTCCTCAACCGTGGCAAGGGAAAACAACCCCTTCTCCCTCGCGAGCCGACCGAATCCACTAGTGAGACTAACACAAAGGCATATGAGGAAGCCGTTGAGAAGTACCGGAAGTGGGAGAAGGCCGATGCTGCAATTATCAGCGTCTTCATCGCCTCCACCCCTCCAGAACTTGTCAACACGTTCCATAACTACCCCACCTCCAACGCCATCTGGAAGTATCTCCAGGATCGGTTCATGAATAAGACTGCAGTCGGAGTTGCCATCCTCATCCCCAGCATGTTCCAGGTCCGCCTTGAGGATTGCTCGGGAATGGCCGACTACATTGCCAAGGTTCAGACCATTCATGGCGAACTCAAGGAGCTGGGTATAGTCCTTCCCCGAACAGGCCCCTGCAGCAGCTCTTTTCGTTGGTCTCACCACAGCCTATGAAATCACAAGGAAGATGCTCCTCACGCTGACTGCGGAAGACCTCACTTTTGCCAAGGTCTCCTCCGCGCTCCTCTCTGCCGAGAAAGACTCCACAGCTCAGGCCAAGACCTACGCCATCCGTGCTCCCATGCCTCAAGCCAGTGTCGCATCGGCCCTTGCCTCGGCGCCCCTTCAGCGCAACCGCTTCCCACCGTGCACCTACGTCGTCAAGTATGGCAACCGTAAGGGACAAGTGTGTGGTGGCACTAACCACCCCCCTGCTACGTGCTTCAAGAAGAAGGACGACGAATGGTACGCCATCCACGGCACAGACAAGAGGCCACCGAACTGGATGCGTGCGCGTAAAGCCAACCTGGTTGAGGTCCAGGACCCCGCTTCGGCTAGTGCCAGTGATAGTGCTCCTACTGATGTCCGTATCAACCTGTTGTTCCCTGGCACTGCCATGATTAATGAAGCTTCCTCCCAGTACCTCGGCTCATCGCAAGCACCACAATACATAGAGTTCATACTCGACAGCGGCGCCACACACACTGTACTCAAGAAGACACTCTCCTTCAAACCCTACGCAACACCAATCCCTCTCCTAGGAGCTGACTCAAGCTTCACCACTCATGCCAAGGGTTCATCCACAGTCCCGTGCCCCGCCTTCCCTTCCGGCACTGTCACTGGAATGTGCGTGCCTTCACTCCGCCACAATCTCGTGGCCCAAACGGAAATTCAGGAAGCTGGGCTACGCACCATCTTCTGGGAGAACGAGAACTATGGTGATATCCTCGACCCACTCACCAACAAGGTCTTGACTCGTTTCACCCTCAACAGCAGCGGCCTTTACACGCTACAAGTACCCATCCCACAGGTGTCAACCACCCAAACAGCGGCGACTACCTCACCATGCCCATGCCGCAGTTTCTCCAACCCGACCATACTCTACCACAATCGGCTTCGGCACCCAAACTTCCGCACACTTGCTGACATGGCCTCCAAGAAACTTCTACTCGGCCTGCCAGCCTCACTTCCTCCACCACCAGACTCCCCCGCTCCCACGTGCCTTGACTGCACCAAGAGCAAACTGCGTCAACAGCCCCACCCGGCCTCACCCTCTGTCGCAGCAGGACCACTGGACCTGGTACACCTGGACGTCTGGGGCCCTGCCCCTGTTCCCGCACGAGGTGGTTATCGCTACTTCCTTGTTATCGTCGATGACCACTCTCGCTACGTCTCTGTTCACCTCCTCCACACTAAGGCTGCGGTCCCAGAGGTCCTCATGGCGTGGGTTAAACAAGCACAGACCGCCTTTGACCGCAAAGTCAAGCGCCTCCACTCAGATGGTGGTGGTGAGTTTTGCAACGACAAGCTCAAGGCCTTCTACTCCTCAGAAGGTATCCAGCAAAACTTCACCCTCCCTAACAGCTCGCAGCAAAACGGCATAGCTGAGAGCCGCAACCACACCCTGGTGCAGATCACTCGGTGCCTCCTCAGCCACTCCAACGCTCCACACTCTCTCTGGGGGTACGCTCTCTACCACGCCGCCCTCCTCTACAACCTTTATCCCCACCCGCATCTTCCCGACACCACTCCAACCACACTCTGGCTCGGAAAACGCCCACTGCTCGATCTCTTCGCGTGTGGGGGTGCACCGCCTATGTCCTCCTCAACCCTCAGGCTCGACGGTAGCACGGCGGCAAGCTCGGTCCCAAGACCCAGACGTGCATCTACCTCGGACATAACGCCGACTCGCTTGACTACCTCTTCCTCAATCCCTCCACTCAACAGTTGGTCCGGAGCCGCGACGTTGTCTTTGATGAGACCCGCCCATTCTACTCCACTTCGGGACGGGACCCTCTCCCTAATCCACCCTCCCTCGTGTGGGCAGACTTTGATGCGCCTCCTGACCTCTCGCCTGCTCCGGCCCCTTCACCTCCTACCCCTCCTGCCACCGCACCGTCCCCCTCTGAGGTCTCTGATCCGCCCTCACCAGTGTCCTCGGCAGCTGCTCCCCCACCCCCCTCACTTCCCACTCCACCGACAGTGCAGCCACCTCCGAGCGCACCTATCACCTACCATCGGCGGTCCCACCCTCCGGCCCCACCTCCTCCCCCGGTTCCCCCCACCACAGAGGAACCCGCTCTCCCACAGTCGCCCGAGCTGATCACGTACCACCGGCGGCCCATTCCCCCGCCCAAACCTCCTAAGTCAACCCCTCGGACACCGCCTGCCCCACCCTCTTCTCTGGTGGCTCATGGCACTCGTTCGCATGGCGCTGCTCTTCCACTAGCGCTGGTTCTTCGATACACGGCGATCACACCGCCTCCTCCTGCTGGGGGGGATGTGCCCTCTACCCTTCTGGAAGACAAGCATGAGGAGCTGTGTGATCTTCATGCACTCATTCCCCAGCTCTCGCACATCTTCCCCGACATCACTGAATCACCCTCCCTCAACTTCGCGGAGAACCCGACCATCTCTATCCCTCTCACCGTCCAAGAGGCTCTCTCGGGCCCTCATGCTGCCGAATGGCGTGCTGCCATGGAAGCGGAGATTGTAGCTTTCACCCGCAACCACTCCTTCGACGACGAGACTCCACCTCCAGGAGTCAACATCGTCGGGGGCAAGTGGTTGTTCCGTGTAAAACAGCTCCCAAACGAGGCCCCGGTGTTCAAAGCGCGTTACGTAGCCAAGGGCTTCACCCAGCAACAGTATCGCGACTTCTTCCTAACCTTCTCCCCCACATCCAAACCTCCCACCATTCGCACGCTAATGGATGTCGCAGCTCGAGAAGACTTTGAGATCAAATCCATGGATGCCTCATCCGCCTTCCTACAAGGACGTCTCAAGGAGACAGTGTTCATGGACAGACCAGAAAGCTTCCTAGGAGCATTCCCTCCCAACACTGTCTGGAAGCTGAATCGCCCCGTCTACGGCCTTAAGCAAGCCCCTCGCGAATGGCACAACAAGGTGAAAGAAGTCCTCCTCTCCCTGGACTTCCACCCTTCAACTGCTGACCCGACTCTCTTCATCCGCCGTCATTCTGAGCCTTTCTACATCCTGGTCTACGTGGATGATTTCATCCTCGTTGCCAAGGACTCGGCCCAGATGACCTCTATCCAGGCAGCCCTGAGCAAGGCCCTCCTGATGAAAGACCTCGGTGACCTCAAGCACTACCTGGGGATGGAGATCACTCGTGATCGTCAGGCTCGCACCATTTCGCTCTC